TTATCTCCTTCCTTACTGCTCACTGTAATTTATCTCCTGTCAAGCGTTTTCCTCCAGCCTTGTGACAGCAGTCGATAGATATTCCGGTTCTGGTGGATTATTGGTGTTTGCTTCCAAGGATTTTAAACAAGATTAAAGTACAGATGAGGCGAGGCATGAACCAACCCCGGGGGGAGCAAAGGGAAATGTATCACAGCGTAGAGCAATGAAACCCGAAAAGCACAGGAGTGAGGGTTGCTGTGATTCAGCAGGTAGCCCTGGGTGCCTGTGCCGGTGCCACGGAGGGCAGTGCAGACGCTGTGTGTGCTGTCAGCTGACAGCCCGGGGAGCAGCAGCAGCAGCGGAGCCGCTCGCAGGCCCCACGTGGGCGCATCCGCAGTGTGTCATAATGCAGCACGTCCCGCCCCAGCGCCCAGCGGCCCAGCCTGTGAGCCCCTGCTGGGGCACAGGGGGCAGGAAAGGGGCCACTTGGCTTAAATACCCAGTTATGGTGGAAAGGACGAACAGAAGGATTTTGTGTGTCAGCGCGTGCGGATCCTCCCCTGCTCGTCAGGCCCAGCATTCTGCTCAGCCTGGTGGTGGAGAACACCCCAGCTACAGCACAGCGGGAATACACCTTGTGCCATGAACACCACAGCCTCAGCACAGTGTGGATACACTTGTTCCATGAGGCATCATTTACTTTGTGTCCCAAAATAATGCATTTCACAGAATACTCTTTCACCGTCAGATGAGATGCTGTGGTGGCTCATTACATTTTCACTGTAAAAATTACCTGGGCCTAACATGAATTTTGTTATGAGTCTCCTATTGCCCCTACTGCTTTTCTTTTCCTCCTACGCCCAGTGAGACAAAACTCCCTTGCCAGCATCGTCCATGAGAGGTCACTGTGTCCAGGGAGATGCTGAGCTGCACCACACCGAGTGTTATCTGGGCACTCGAGACAACTGAGAGCTTGGGTGAAAGTTCTCTTCACTCAGAAAGGCAGATTTCTAAGGAGTTATGTAAACTCGAGGTGAGATTTAGGCACATCTCAGATGCACCACCGTAGGAGGGAAGCTGAGTCGAGTATGGCAGCCAGGCTATGGGAAGGTGAGGAACCACCACCATCCCTGCTGGGGCAGAGGGAAGGAGAGCAGCTCTCTGGGAAGGTCAAGCTTTCTGCAGTGATGGTAGAAATTTTAAACCAGTCATTGAGATTCCAGGAAAAGATGGCAGGAAGGCAGCCCCCATGGAGGTCTGGATGGAGGCAGGCAGTGCCCCAGCAGAGATGGGCTCTGGGAGACCAGTGTCTGGTCTCTCAGAAATGGGCTTGAGGATGTAAAATGCTCCATTTTTCCTCTTCTCTGTTTTCCCCCTAATGCTATTTCTGGCCAGATCCGAGCGTTTCATTAATGCAAATCAGCGTTCCTGCCCACAAGGAATAAGAGCTTAGAGCCAATTCCCCTGTTACGATTTTGTAGTTAAATCGTAAAATCACTGAGAGGCATCAATCAGGATTGGATTAATGTAATGCCAGGCAACAAACAAACAGAACCAGATCACAGCTCCTGCTTCTAAACCCTCCCCCCAAGGTCTTAGGGATTTTATAGAATTTAAAAAAGCATTTACAGCTCAAATAAGAGCTACCAATTTTGAAATACCAATTAATATGGCATCTCTGTGCATCTGCTGTACATTCATCCACAAAAATAGGAGTTATAAAGGCTATTTTGTGGAGCAGAGATCTAGGACATAACACAGATGTTTCTGGGAGGGAAAACCTCAGTGTTCATTGTTAATCACAGCTCTTGGACATGTACAGAGTGGGCAGGATGTATCACAGAGGATTGGAGTCCATTTGAGATGTGGTGCTTTTTGGCATCTTCTATACGAGGCTTGCTATAAACAAGCAAATAAAAACAAAAAACCAAACCCAAAGCCCTCAAAAAAACCCAACAGCAGGGAATGGTCCCTTAGGCAGAGAGCAGAGACTGTCATTCAGGTACTACTCACACAAGATGCCACATCAGTTGGTTTTTACATTTAATACCAAAAAAAAGGCAGTAAAATTATGGGATATGTGTTCCAAGCTAACAGGCTCCTTCCCACAGCGAGGGGAGAAAATGCTGCTGCTATTGCAAATTTTTATGTCTCTTTTAATTAAGTTCTTCAATATATTTCAAAGCGTTAATTTTTACAAGAGTTACATTAAATTGGAAGTACATTCAGACGACTCTTTTTTAACAGAAACACCCATTTTTTAGTAAGATTCACACTCTATCTTGGTTTGTGTTTTTCCTTCCCAGCCTTTCTTGCATTTGTGGTGCTGAGGACTCCAAAATCCAGTATTAACACCCAAAAAACCCTAGGAGAGCATGAGGGATATTTATGTTGTGCTGACAGTGAACAGCAGGTTGCAGCACTGAGGAATGTTTTCGGCAACATGACAGCTCCTGAGAGGAAAGTAAATAGTGCATTTTTTTTTTAATTGAAAAAAACCCCAGCCCACAAATCCCTCACCATTAAATTAATTAATTGAATTAATTAATTCAATCACCACCATAAAATTCACTAAATTCTTGAGGGTACGGATTGCAGACAAATGAGTGAAACTGAACTTATGTAGCTGCACACATTTACAGGTTTTTCTCTGAGGGTTTTTTGGGGCCTTGGTTCATAACTAGTGTACTTAATTGCTAAAATAATGATAATGATGTATAAAAATAGTTTTTTTCTAAAACTGAGGATATGGGTTTTCATGAAGGATTAAATACAAAGTTCAGCTTGACTACTGTTGCTCACAGGGAGGTGACAGCCACACAAGCAGAGGCTTGAAACTAGTTTTTTGTTTGTTTTTATTGAGTAGTTAAGTAGTTAAGCCTATTTGTCATATTTATTAATTTTTTTATGTGATTCAGACAGTTTAGCCAAAAAAAATGATAAAAGGAAAGCTATGATCACATGGAATTTATGCTATTGAATAATAGTGGGATGGGAAAAGATAAAGAATTTATCATTCACTGGAAGCCTTATTAGATACCCACATCCACAGGGTGACAAAGCGGTTTTCCACAGTCTGACAAAAAAAAAAAAGAGATTGAAACAGTTTTGGCAGCTACACAAAGATGCTTCAGCCCAGCACGAGTGGGTTTGTGTGCTGGTGGGTAATGAAATGAATTTGAAATATTTTAAAAATATTAAATTTACAAATTTAAGAGCATTCAGATTAGTGCAAGCCCGGCTGTAACATGACTAAATAAGGGTGCTAAAAGCCTTTACCAGCACGTTCCGGGGGGGAGCACTGGAAGAGCAGGGGTTTTGTGCAGGTGAACCTGCATGAAAGGTACAGCCAGGACGTGTCCTGCCCCAAAGACCTGGCGTGTTGTCACAGGGAATTTAATTACAGACAGGGGACCGGTCCCAGCAGGATTTAAACCACTGAGACCCACACGCAGGTGTAAATTATGTAATGACCAGTGACAGAACTCCGGGAAGCAGCCGGAGCTGAGTCAGGGGAGGTTCAGGTGGGATGTCAGGAAAAGGTTTTTCACCCAGAGGACAGTCGAGCACTGCCAGAGCTCGAGGAGCATTTGGACAGCGCTCTAGGGGACAGAGGGGGATTGTTGGGGTGTCCTGTGCAGGGCCAGGAGTGGAACTCGATGATCCCTGGGGGTCCCTTCCAACTCAGGATATTCTGTAATAAAACCGGGTGTTTTGCTGGTGAAGCAGTTAAAAAAAAAAAAAGTGACTACGAATTTGGTTGTATCTTGTGAGACTTTTGGAGACTACCGTAAACGGGGAAAGCAGAAAGTCATTCTTTATTGCCTTAATCCGCGTGTCCCCGGCGGGGCAGGGCTGGCGGTACTGCGGCCCCTCACGGCCCCTCACGGCCCCTCACGGCCCCTCACGGCCCC